CACACACACACACACACACACACACACACACACACACACACACACACACACACACACACACACACACACACACACACACACACACACACACACACACACACACACACACACACACACACACACACACACACACACACACACACACACACACACACACACACACACACACACACACACACACACACACACACACACACACACACACACACACACACACACACACACATACACACACACACACACACACACACACACACACCACACACACACACACACACACACACACACGCATGTTTTTTCATACTTAAAACTGTCGAAACTGATAGCCGGTAGTGGCAGTCCAATTCGCTTTAACTTCTAAGCTAAGCCGATACTCTCCACAGTTCTTAAACGCTAGTCATGGTGCATCCAAGCTTCATTAGCTGCATTGTGCCTACTGAAGGTGGTCTACACTATGATGTCTAGAACAGGATATCCTCATCCCTAAAAAAGTCTGCGCAGTACAAAAGAGATACAGGACCGCGGCAAAATCGCCATTTGTGCCGGATGTGTTATCCGACTAACTCCACGGCAGCCTCACGGCATGAACACATCGCTTCACTGTTGGGGCACCCCTGGTGTGCCAACACCACCCGGCTGGGACAGCGGCACCCATCATTCTTTCAGCGACGTAAGCAACGGTGGCCAGACGACCATCAAGTTCCAAGCAAAACAGCAAAATCAGCAGTTAAAATATCACCTGCGCAAAGGGGCGCCTCGTTCTAAGCGTGCTCACATTTATACTTATCTGCAAAGGGATCCTTGGTTAGTTCGTGCGTGGGATGTAAGGAAGCGTTAGCTGCAGTGTTTATTTGAGTCAATGGCATTCTCGATAGGTGTATTTTGTTGAGCAAATGAACTTGCCGTTGTTGGTGGTACTGAGTGGTTTGCAGAACAGGAAGATAGCAATCAGATGACCGACAGAAGGAAGGTTGCTGTGGTAACCAAGGTAAATGCTACAACTTTATTCGAATGTACCAACTCCTTTTGGTTGAGTCTGGTCGGCAATAGCGGGGATGGAGGCGCTTATGTGAGGGTGAATAGTATCCGGCCGGGTGGGCGGCCCCTGTGTTCCCAACGACCCCTTGTCCGTGACCTGCGGCCGGCGCATAGACCGCTGACGGCTTTGGCTGCAGTAAATGGCCGTTGACCTCCGGCGCGGCATGGCAACGGCCACTTGGCAGCCGAGTCTGGCAGCTCTCTTTTCGTGTCAGCGCAATTAACGAGGCTTAAGCGCAGAGAGAACAAGCGGCACGGTGCACCTTCTGGTCGCAGTCATTCGCTCCAGGTTCAAAATCGTTTTCTGCAACCGCCATTTATTCTTCACGACATAGACGCCATTTGCTTCGTGACCAAATTGTGGCGTCCAAGCACCGCCGGTCAGAGCAGCACCTTTAAGGTTCTCGGTAAAATGTCCTACAAATGTTTCTTTTGGGGAGACGGTCCTCGATGATCTAGCGGTAATTACAATAAATACAACAGCTATCGTCACTGACCAAACAACTAATACAATGCATGTTGGAATGTGCATAACTGCATGCGAAAACATATCGTCATGCAATAAATATTGTTATATATCGATGAAAAGTGAGTCTTAAATACAACAGGAGAGAAAGAAAAGGAAGACTACATCAGACACAAAACAAGAATTCACGAGCTGTCTATAGCCCACACAATACAACACCAGCCAGCCCCGTCGCATGCCGTGCATGCACCTCACGGACTGGAGTATTCATAGGCCTGCAATCCGACGCACCCCGAGTAGGCCCCGCCGTGCCAGAGCCGCCTTGAGCGGGCCACGCCGTGACAGAGGACCCCAGGGTCCTGCCGCACGACCGGTCATCAGGTACTGCCCGCGCTGCTGCCGCCGATGCCGCCGTCTCAGCCGCTCAGTTGCGGCCGTAGTTGTAGCGGAAGCTGACACCGCTACTGCCGCCCAGCGAGAAGCTGCTGTAGCTGCCGGAACGCGCGCTCGACTTCGGCGCGGTGTAGCTTCCCGGTCGTGTCGTGTCTGGGTCGGGGCGGGCGTAGGTGGGGCGCGGCGGGATGGGGCGCGGCGCGATCGACGCGCGAGTGGGGAACGCCGTGAACGGGACCGCTGCGTACTGGGGCTCGGGGGCGTACTGAGGTTCAGGAGCGTACTGGGGCTGCGGCTGAGGAGCATACTGAGGTTTTGGGGCGTACACTGGCTCGGGGGCGTACTGAGGCTGAGCAGCGTACTGGGGCTCGGGGGCATACTGGGGCTCGGGGATGTACTGGGGCTCGGGGGCGTACTGCGGCTGAGGCGGGGCGTATTGGGGCCGTCCGACGTCTGCGTAAGGTGTGGGAGGGGCCGTGTACCTGGGGCCCGCCACCGGTCCAGTCTGCGTATACGGTCTTAGGGGGGCGCCACCATAGGCCAGGGCGGGGCCGGCGCCGTACCCGCGCTGCAAACCAGAAGATAGGCTCACTGAAGCAGAAG